TGAACCTGTTTGGACCAGCAGAGGTGGGCACATACTGTAAGAGTTTATTTTTAATCTGTGGATTAACACATCCAGGTTTACTTAGCTCACCGATGTCTTTAGCACGCGCGGCCACTGGCCTGCGCAGCTCTGTGACAAACTTCTTGGCGTCCAGCCGGATCTCTATGACGTTGTTCAACAGGGCGAAGAGAGGAGCCAGTGGGAAAGACGCCACGAAGAGAGAGACGAAACCGAACTGGATTACTGTGGAGACATACATAAAAAAAATAAAACAGGATTTTTGACTTCCAAAACCAACAGTCCATCATTGCTTTTCTTATTTTTTTAGCAAAGGAAAATAATGAAGGGTTGCAACTACTTATCATATAACTGCTCTAAATTAAGCAAAGAGAAGAGGATCAGAGTCCAAGTGCAGCCTTCTCCCTAAAAATGGCTGAGTACTGCTGATCAGCAGGCTGAAAGAGTTTTTTCTCACAGTTGCGCAGAAGATCAATTTGTGGAAGTTACCAAACAGTTCAGACACATAAATACTAGTACTAGCAGTTTCATTTGAAATAGATGGATGTAAACGACTCTCTATGCGCATCTTGGACACTTTTTGCATGAAGATTCAGCACCATGAGGCCCCAGTATATCACAACCATAATCCCATGCTCCTCTTTGCTTTCTTGCTTTTTATCCAGTAGATTCTCTGCTGCTCACATGGAGACCGGTTCCTGTGCCTCATGTCAACTTTTGTCACTAAAAGAGTAAAACCAACCTGATAGAGTGAACTGCCTGTGATTGACTAATTTTCAGGAAATCCTCTTCAGACAGTATCGTTTTCTTCCTGGTTGTGGCTAGTAATGTTGTGCTACTGTATGTTCAGAGCGCAAGCAGCAAGAGCAGAAAAAATGTGCGTGTGGCTTCCTTTTTAATGCTTGTACAAGTTTATTTCTGACGCAGGGCTGAGGCATCTTTGCTGCTCTCGCTGCACGGTCATAAAGTGGGTCTAATGCGTGTTGGGCAGAGCTTCCCTATCCTTTCTTAACATGGTTTAAACCAGGTTGTCTGCGTGTTTGTCGCGGTGATTGTAAATGTAAATTTGTAGCTTACCGCAAACAGTGGCGCAGACAGGAGGCCTCTGATTGGTCAAATCATACACTATGCATATTTCCTGTTCGGTATCTTACCGGCTTGTTTTGTTTGTATGACCTCCATTGTGGAAAACAACTCGTGAAGTTGGACCAGCTAGAAGAGCGAGGTGAGCGAGAACACTGGGACCCTTTTTCCCACCTGGATCCCCGCTCTTTTTGCCCTCATGTCCCTCCGTTGTTTCACAAACTTGCCCCAACTTCCTCTCCGCCTTGGCCGTAATTCATGATTGTCCCTCTTGCGTTGTGGCGTGGAATAACAAAGCGCAGACCGCACTTCATTATTGGGCATAAATCAAAAATATATGCGACAAGCTCACTGCGAAACACTGCTGCTGGAGGATAACAAGCCCTTTACCCTGTAACAATAGCAACTATATTTTCTGCGATCAGTGGGTAAAAAGTAGTTACTTAAGAGAAGAATCACCTCCAGAAGCGAAGAGAATGCAATATGGAAAATGTAATTTGAAAATGATGCAATTAGTAAAATTCAATCAGATAAATATAAAGTATGAAAAATAAATTTGAAAATATATCTGAGACATCAATTTTTTTTTTTTAGCAAAACATTTTACAAAGTTCCATATCTGGATGGCATGATTTTCAAATTCACAATTCCAAAATTAGTTTCACTACTTGCAAAAATAGTGGGACAACAATCATTCCATCCATTTTACCCCTTCCAATTGTTCCTCACGAGTTTTATAAACCTAAGCAGTGAAAAACAGGCTGCTGAGTTTTGATGAAAAAAGTCTCATAGATTGACATTTAATCGTATTTCTTTACTTTATGTGGCAAAGAATTTTATTTTTATACGCTCAGACTGAAACGAAACATATTTTTCTTTAAAGGACAACACAGTTTGTGATTTATAAAAACCATTGAGCTGTTTTTAAAAACGACTCAAAACAAGGTGTTTAATTTTCCAAAGAACTAAACTAAATTGCTTGCCATATATTTTTCCTGTTAACATCCGTATTATGGTAGAACATCTTGTCTAGTTAGCTGACTGCATCACTACACCCTTATTACTTCTTCTGTTTTTAGCAGAGCCCATGAAACAAAGACGATGGGATTGTTCAACTACTGCGAGAATAATCCAGTTTAGTTTGAGTAGGTGAAGTTTGTAAGGTTTCAAGCACATCAATTCAGGCAGTCTTTTAAGCAAGAGAATTATTTTTTACCCAAATGGAAAACAAAAACACCAATCCCAAAACATCAAGATAAATTTCATTAAATGACATTAGCATGTTTAGGAGCGAAGCCAGCAGTAATTTGCTTTGTTTTTTATTTCTTAATTATTGAGTGCTGCCCCCAGAGGAATAGCCTCCTGGATGAAGAGCCTCATAAGCTTCAATAAAAACAACAAACGTAAATATAAGGTGGTAAACTCTACTAAGTTTCAAGAGTAGAATCAATATAATAAAAATAATTAGCATCTGTTTAGCTAGCCAAAGGAGAGGAACAGCTGATGAAGGAGAACGGTGTGCAGCCATTCCTCACAGGTTGATTAATGATCAGTTCACCTCCATCTTAAGAATGTGAAAAAGGAAACCGCAGTCTGCCCGCCCGGGCCTGATACATTGCTCTGATCAGAGCGGTGGAACCTAAGCAGTGTGGGAACAGGGACTTCCAGCCAGCCTGAGACTGACGGCTTCACCTCGGGACACCATGCTGAGACAAAGAGCGGCCAGGAAGAGAATACGGCAGCAGCAGCGGCGAGCGCTAGAGGGCAGGCTCAGGGTAACCTCTCAGTCTACCTGAGCCGAGGTCGACGGGTCCGGCCCAGCCGCACAAAGGCAGCACAGGAACAGACAGGCCCCACATATAAAACCCCAGCTCCTGCAAACAGGCTCACTGCACTCATCAATGTGTGTGTGTGTGTTTTCCATGTAGGATGCAGACATTTCTGACATTCTGCGCTGCACCCTGAGGCGCTTTTCCTCCCACTTCTCCTGTGTCACACAAAATCTTCTTTTTCAACACATAAAAAAAGACGTTTCAAGCTGTAAAAAGTTGGAATGTAATTAAAATACTTTAAAAAGTTGATTAATTCTTCCACAAATAAAGGGGTGAAACACTGGTTTGATTTCTGAGTTTTACACAGAAGTCTGAGGGTTGCCTAGAAACCTCAGGGGGAAAAAATATTTTCTTTTAAAGTCTTTTCCAATGAAATCACATTTTTTTAGTCTTGCAATTAGAGATAAAATGATTTATCGGCCAGCCTATATTTTTGGTCGATATAAGCATTTTTTCTTTTATGGTCTTCAGCCGATACTGTATGTGCATTTTCATGTGTGCAGTGGTTCCCCCTAGGGGGGACACTGTGTAACTGCAGAGGACGTAGAAATTAAGTGAGTAAATGATCCATTTTAAGAGTTTTTATTTTTATTTATTTATGTATTGATCTTAATGTTGTTAAAATGAGGGCACTTTAAAGGTTTTAGTTTTAGCAATTTAAAGTAGATCGTATTACTACAATGCTGTTGACTTTTGATTGTTCAACTGTTGTAAAGGATGGAGATTAAAGGGAGCCAACTGTTTTTTTTTTCTAACAAAAATAGGTGTAAGGAAATCACTGAATTAGTGCGTTTATCAGCCATGCCTTAAGATTCAGTAATCATGTGTTGCCATTTCCTCCATTTGCTATAAACTGTTAATCTTTAATTTGTTAATAAATGTTTGTTTTTTTTTTGTTTTAATTGAGACTTCTGTAAAAAAATGTTGTGTCATTATTATTATGTAATCAGAGAAGGAGAAAGCAATAACAATCTGCCCAAAAATGTTGGCATCGGTGAGGTTGATGTCAAAATAAACTGTATCGGCATCAGCTTTAAAGTCGTAGGGAAATCATATTTAAAAGTGAAATAATTTTGGCTTAAACATGTATATAAATCGACTCTTTATCAGACCATATTGTCCCATAATTTAGAAAATGTGATAACATCTGTGTTATTTTTTTTCATTATTTTATGCAGGCCAGTTAGTCATACGTCAGCCTGTACACCTAAATTTGGCCAATCATATATCAACGGTCATCTGTGAATCACATTTTTTCAGTCATAGCATCTTGATTCATATGTCGCAGCTAATATACGCAATGGTTGAAATAAGAATAATTTCCTTTCCCATTGAGTTCCGTCCCAGTGTTCACAGGGATGGACGTCTGTGTCTTCAGCAGGCGTAGAGCTAACAGAACTGGCAGCGTTGCGAGGCAAGGGCTCAAACATGTACGGCTGTAAGCCTTCTACACCAAACCAAGCTTCTGCCGCCCTGGCGTCCTCTTCCACTACATCTTCATCCCCACTTTCCTCCTCTAAATAAAAAATGTACGAGGGAGGAGACTCATCCATGACCTCCGACACTAAACTCTCCTCCTCTTGCATGTTTCCTCTGTCCATAGCGTTCCTTGACAGTGTCGTTTCTAAGTCACCAATTTAGTGCACTTGGTACCTACTTGGAACCTACTAGCACTAAGTTGCTAACTGCCTAGCAAGATGCTTCCAACAAACTGGCCACAATCAAACTTGCTTGCGAACCTTCCACCACAACAATCCCGACCTTTGATAAACGACCAATCACATTCCCTTTATTCACTCATGTAAAGTCATGCACCACTCAGGAGAATTCGGAAATGCAACGGTTGGAACAGCCGTTTTCCTACGACTTTAATAAACTGTTATCAGTCCATCTCTGCTTTTAATTTTATGGGGAAATCTGTCCTTTTTTATTTTTTATTTTTTTACAGTGTCCTGTCTGGCAATGTGGCAATACAAATAATTGTCTTGATGCCAAAAAGAGCCCAACAGATTTTACTTTCACAAGTGGAGCAGTATGGCAGTTGCCATATAGCTCCACTTGTTTCATGCATATAAATTGCTTTATTATAATTATGCAGGGAGTTTTACAGTTTATATGGACATTGCAACTGTAAATAGGGCAGAAAAACAGAAGAAGAAAAGGAAAAAAGAAAAGAGAAAAGATGAAAGGAAGAAGAGATAGAAAGGAGACAATGACAAAACATTTTCAGTCTGCTTCATCACCTGTAACGAGTCCTTCTTTTTTAGAATTCCAGATAAGTTAACCCTTTATCCAGTTGATGTTCTGTTTAATTTTTTTTTTTTATTTTACTTTTTTTCTAAAACAAAAAATAAATAAAAAACAACAGATACCTTATATTGAGTGAGTCACATTGCAAAGTAAAAATGTATTTTATATTTCTGTGTATTTAGGATTTTGTAGAGCTGTTTGCTGTACAGCCAGCCAGCTCCCCCACAAGGATGAGGCCAAACCCTCCAACGTCCCTGAGCTCCACCCAATGCCAGGAGCCGGCATCCCATCCCAGCATCGGATTGGAACCAGAGGCCGAAGAGCCCAAGGAAAGCCAGAACCCAAACCAAGCCACGACCATCCAAAAGTTGGTCAACTGATTCTTTTCATGAATATGTGCCGTTTTACTGCCATCTTACCAAGGAAATATTTTAATTTATCCTGTCAAAATCAGTAAATATAAGATTTTACAGCCAGTCTGTTGTTTTCCGAAGAGCTTGTGTGCCTTTTGTAATATATATTTACTATTAAACACTTTCTGTAAAGAAATATGAGTTAACTTAGTTAAATTATAACGTAAAGCCTCATGATTTGTCTTTTATCAGTATTAATATTAAAAAGTACATATAAAATAGTATCTAGGCTTTATTTTGACTAAAACTGTAGGCTTACTTGTTATTTCTTTTTATTATTATTGCAAACAAATAACCCATATTGGCCATACAGCTTTGAAGAAAGAAAAAAGTAATCTAGAAATGTAACTTTAAAAGCTTTTATATGAAAAGAAAAAAGGTTTTGAGAGTTTTTTTTTCTGTTTTCTTAGATTTACATTTTTCAAATTTTATTGTCCATATTTATTTATTTTTTAATATTTTATCTCAAATGTTTTTTTGTTTTTTTTTGCAGTTTCTCTTTTTCTGACTGACTTTTGAATTTCATTCTTTTGAGATTCATTTTTACAGAAATATATTAGAAAAAAACTCATCTGAAAATATAAAATCTATTAAATCTGTAATGTGAATAAATGACAAATAGAATATGAAATAATAGTAAAAAAACAAAATACCTGTTTAAACAAAGAAGATCCATTTCTGGATTGCATTTTATAAATTTTTTTTTCTTTTTACAAATGTTAATTTAAAAACATGTTTTTTGCAAACATAATGGAACAAAATGGACTGAATAATTTAATAGCGTCAGCAGCAATGTTTCACCTCAGGGCTCCTTTTAAATAAGGCCATGTTGTAATTTATCAAAGTTTCAAAGCAGTTGAGAAGCTCTAAGCTTAATAAAGTGAAGCTAAAACTCCTCCACATCAACAGACTGAGAAGGTCATAGAGGAGACAAATACTTCTTCTCTTACTGTAACATGTTGTTACCTGTGAAGCCATCACTACCAAAGGAAGGTCAGCAATTTGGTAAATCATAAGATATGGACACTAGTTTAGCTTCTTTGCTTGTGTTCAAACAGTATTTGCACTTTGACACATTTCCTTCCTTCTGGCTTTAGTACTAAGACAGTTTTATAGCAGGTAAAAGCTGTATACTAGAAGTAATTCCTCCTATTGTTGAATTGAAAAATTCCCTTTTTAAAAGCACATTTTTTAGAGCATCAGGAAATCAGTTCAAGGTATTAAAGTCGTAGGGAAGCGGCCATTCCAACCGTTGCATTTCTGAATTCTCCCAAGTGGTGCGCGACTTTACAGGAAGGAATAAAGTGAATGTGATTGGGCGTTTATCAAGGGGGCGGGATTGTTGTGGCGGAAGGTTCGCAAGCAAGTTTGGTTGTGGCCGGGTTATCGGAAGCATCTTGCTAACCAGTTAGCAACTCAGTGCTAGCAGGTTCCCAATGGTGTAGAAGGCTTAAAGCCGTACATGTTTGAGCCCTTCTATAACTAAATGGCATGCATAAAATAACGGGGGGGAAAAAACGCAGATTTTCAAACAGGATTTTTTTTCTTTTAATTTTCTAAATTTAGGGACAATATCATCTGATAAACAGTGCATTTATATACATGTTTAAGCCAGAACGATTTGACATCTAAATATGTTTTCCCTACGAATTTAACCCTTTATAGGGAAAGTTACAGTTTTTGATCACTTGCATACTCCTTATAAATGGAGTTCCCCCCGTCCCTCAGTGAAGTCTAGAAACACAAGATCTATATCCAGACATTCAGCAAAAAAACTGCTACATGTACATCTTGTTGTGGCATTAGACAAATTAGGTGAGCCCTTGAATGATATATTACCTACTGGAAATTAAGTTGAAAAGAAAAAATTACCAAGTCAAGAAAAAAAGGTAAAAAGCTAATTCAATGGTTAAAAAGTTAATAGGCCTAGTTAACAATTATATTTAGGTTTATAAACTAAAAAATGTAAGTGCCAGTATCGGCATTAATGCCTCTAAGTGTTTCTTTTACTTTCAGAATGTTTTTCATGAATGTCTTATAGAAGCACTTTTGTTATTTTTCTGAATATATTCAGGCAAGTTTGTTATTGTTTGTTATTACATTCACATTCATTTTTGCCATCAAAATATCCATATTTTTTTAAAGTTACAAAGGTAATAAGGTCTGATCCTGGATTCTAATAACACTATTGGCTTGAAATTTTGCACACTGAGTGCCCTATAAATGGTTAAAGAGGATTTTTCTCAGAAATGAAGTTTCCAGATTCATCTAAAATGATTTAATTGATGGATGGCATTCTTCCAAGTTTGGAGACGTCCCATCCAGAAGGATTTTTCAATTAAAAATGTCTGGATTAGCATTGAGTTTTTTTTTGTTTTTTTTTATAACTTTTTTGGAACTACTATGACCTGGATGAATGAGAATCTTCATCAGCATGTTAGCCAATCCTCCTATTGTCGAAAGTGGATTGGCTACTTGTTTGTCAATCAAACATTTTGCCTATGTGCCACCATGACGTTAAATACGTAAGCTCCACGTGTATTTCATACGCTGTTTGGCTAGCTGACCGTCATTACGCTGCAGCATGAAGAAATAATCCTACGCTGGAGGAGGGAGGA